GTTTTTAATCCCGATATTAAAAGTTTTTAATCCCGATATTAAAAGTTAAAATCACTCAAATTGTCACTCATAATGTCAGGATGTCAGGTTTTCTGAGTCATTAAAATGAAGGTGATTAAAATTCAGTTGTAAATCAAAATTATATTAGAGGTGTCAGCTTAGCAATATTTTATTTGGCTTTACATTTAGGGGTGTCAGGTCGGCAAACTTTTATTCGGCAATAACAATTTTAATCGAATTCGGAAAATAAAGCACCCGGATTTAATACATGTTATACAGTAAATTGTTTTAGGGTTGATGTCCAAATGTCAAGGTGATGAAGAATGTTGATTCATTCAGGGAAGGTCAAAGGCACTTTTAAAGAGAGAATCAAGATCTAGCGAGCAGTCTCACAAAAAAGTGATTCAATTTTAGTGTCTGGCTTATGTCATTCATTTCATGTCTATTTTCTAAAAATTCCAAAAGTGCACATTTTGTTTCAGGAAAATTAAAGATTTTTACAACAATGTATTATTTTTCTATAGGAATGGTTACCAATATTTTGGGAGATATTGTATTTGAGATTGTAAGGAATAGATTGGTAGGTCAATTGTACAGATGTTGCTTGTAATTTTGTCATCCCCATAGATGATTTTGCCTGTAAGTAAAACACGTATTAGTTTTATTGGTTTTCGAAAGTTTCAAGCGAGAGCGAGGAGCGAATGAACACTTTCAAATATTGTTGATGGAGGAGGGCCTCAGGGGGTGGTTAAACCATCGTACAATTAATTATAGACTCAGCAGGTATTTCATTGAAAGCGTTTCATGTTTATATATTGACTTACTCTGAATGTGTGGGGGAAATTTCCCTAGGTTATGTTCTGATCATATCATTATTTTGTTCCAATCGACTGAGGTGGCAATAGAGAGCACAGACGGCGGTTTGTTAACCAATATTAAAAAGGCTTTAGAATACAACTATAGTGTTTCCTGTTAAAAAATATCGATTAACAGCATCTGAGGTATTGAGAATCAAAGAACTGCATTCCTTAACAAATATCAAATATTCATATGAACCAGGGTTGCGTTAATGGATTTAGCAATGGTCTAGGAGGTCATCCGTATGACATATAAAGTAAATGGATATACAGTGTAGGCTATTTTGGAGTGATTGTTAGAGGTGGGTGTGTTGTCTATTTTGATAATAATGAACATTTCATGAATTTTCCGAAAGTCGCGTATGTTACAATGCCTCACTGATATTTACACAAAGGATACTGGTACCATATACGATCTTGCACAGGTCTGTTTGATATTTCGTGCACTGATTTCAAACCATACTCTTTCAAAAAGTAACCTTGAGTTCAATCTGAGGTTCAATGCAAAAAATGAATTATATGAGCTTATTTATACTATATAACTGGTTGTATCTATAAATATGTGAACTATTTGCTTGCATGACGATTTGTATTCCGGCGAATGTTCCACGAAGTGCAATCATCTTATTTATTGCTGAATCAACATCTTGGCGTTATATAATAAAACAAACAACTGAACAAGACCTTTTGGTGTAACACTTGTCAGATTACTAGTTTCAAGATCAGGCATCTGTTCCTGTTTCTCAGATCGCAGGCGCGGCTGTACCAATTGCAATCAGCAGTTAGCGAAACCTCCGTGCACTAAATAGTTTGATCTCTGTTACACTACAGGGTGGGCAAAAAATGTTACCGGATCATTAAATGAATGTAACGAGCCAGTCATCCAGCATGGGTTAAAATAATATTGGCACAATTAGATTTTGTTCAATATTGTGTGATTCTAAATAAGTTGAATAAAATAACATTGAACACGGTTTAATTGTGCCAAATATTACTCTATACCCATTCTTGATGTCTTATTTTTGACATTTAGTGAGAGCAAAACTCCACCACAAATGTTAGCCATTCGAAATCTTGTAGTTTGACAAAATGGTGAACAATTTCATGACCTAGATATTAATGCTGAATAATTGCCAAATATGAAGCATTGTTTCCAGCAATCAATCACTTTATTACATTGGGAAAGTGTTTTGTAAAAGAAAAGTGCTGATAAAAGATCTAATTTCATCTTCAATTCATTAAGGATGTATATCCAACTAAAACAAAATGGTGTACATGGGAAATATTTCAAGACCCATATATATCGGGTGTCCCAAAAAAAACGTCCCGCTTTTTGAGCTCTAATGACTCTGATAGATATAAACCAATTTCTTTGAAATTTATCAGGGAGTAAGATAAGGATATTATCTATAAGCTATTAAAATATTAAATTAATCGGATGTTCATTATGTGAGTATCGTCAAATACAAGTTAGCATAGCAAGAAATGTAATATCGGAGGACAACTCACTTATTTCACCTTATAATGTAGATTGATGAGCATCGCCAAATACAAAAGTTAAGCATCATAAGATAAAAAGTTGGTACAGCAAAAGATCGACAACTCACTTATCTATTAACTTGTGCTCAATGTGGCCTCCATCTTCCTTCACAACTAAATGGAGTAGTTTCTTCCATACATAGATACTGCTTTTGATTTCATCCTGTGATATCTCCTGCCATGACGCACGTATTCTCTCTTTTAATGTTTGTTCTGTAAACTTATCCCTCATACCACTGTAAACTTTTTTGATTTAGAGAATCCCAAACAGAGTAATCCATTGGATTAGAGTCTGGACTTTGTGGAGGCCATTCAACCTTTTTGATAAATGCTGGGGTGGATCTCTCTAGATACGCCTGGGTTACCCCACTTGTGTGGGAAGGGGCCCCATTTTGTTGAAACACATAGTCATTTCTACCTGGTAAATCCTCCTACAATCAGGTAGCAGATTTTCATCTCATTACTTAATATAGCTTTCGCTGTTGACTTTGGCTTTGTCAGTATTAATGAAATAAATGTCCATCTTCCCCTTCCAGGATACTCCTGCAGAAACCATTATCTTTTTGAAAAAAGTGAAGTTTCATGGTAAAGACGCGATGGCTGACATTTACATTTAGGCTTTCCATACCCTTGATCATTTTGACGATTTTTGGGCACTTCAAGAGAAAAGTCCTTCTCGTCAGTGAAAATGATCTTCTTGACATCTGCGGCTGAATAACGATCATATAAACTGCGACATCTTGTTTTTTCTTTTTCCTTTAACAAATAAGTGAGTTGTCAATCTTTTGCTGTACCAACTTTTTATCTTATGCTGTTTAACTTTTGTATTTGGCGATGCTCACCATAATAAGGTGAAATAAGTGAGTTGTCCTCCGATATTACATTTCTTGCTATGCTATCTTGTATTTGACGATACTCACATAATGAACATCCGATTAATTTAATATTTTAACAGCTTATAGATAATATCCTTGTCTTACTGCCTGATAAATTTCAAATAAATTGGTTTATATCTTGCAGAGTTATACTGTTATAAGAGCTCAAAAAGCGGGACGTTTTTTTGGGACACCCGATATATGCTGAAAAAGGCAGATATGGACATTGTTTCTAGTAATCAATCTCTTATTACATTGGTAAAAGTTTTTGTCAAAGAAAACAAGAGAACAGGTAAGGAAACTGCTGACATAGCTCTGATTTTCACCTTCAATTCAAGGTATTCAACTACACAATTTCGAATAGGATATATGATTCAGCCGTGGGCAGTGTAGGCCCTAAGGATCCGACACCTGCTGGTCAAAATGGTATTACGGACCAGTTGCAATGTTATTTTCCTATACCTAGTGAAAAAATCAACTGGTCCGTATCAAAAGTAACCCGATAATGACCAGTGGACCAGCCCTTAAATTTAAAGCGCCGGTGTGAACGCCCGTTGTTGTGTATTGCTGAATTTTAACATTTTAAAGCAAATGGTGAAAAAGATTGGTCACTGACCTGCATGGTCACTGTCTTTCCGTGTATCAATTTTACGGTAAGAATGCAACAAACCAAGATGGAATTTAGCCGACCAGGTAAACAATTGATGCTAACTGCACTTGGAAATTCTCTATTTACTGGATGACCTGGGCGTACTAAGATGTACTAATAGACAGTTTTGTTTATTTCAGGAAATAAGCCAATAACCATTGGCCAATAATACGATTAGACGCTCTTCGGTTAGCGAACTAGATCCATTTTCCGATCCACAAACAGTCAAACAACATGGTTGACGTGAAGAAAGCAACGTGGATAGACTACGTTCGATTCATTCTCAGTGCCCTTCTCCTCTTATTCTCACTAGTTGTGACATTTTATGCAATAGTAGAGCGCAAAACAGGGTTTTGGAAGGAAGTACCCGGATGGGTAGCTTTAATTTTGTTCATTATTGATTTGTTTCTACTTGGAATTGTTGAGGGATTACAGATTGCGTTGGTGGAGTTAAAACGACAGCATCCTGATTCCTACAAGAAATCCCACCCGGCTGCTTACAGGCTTGGACAGATTGCGGCCCATGGTGACAATGTCGAACGCTTTCTAATCGGGCGACAAGTGTTCGTCGTAATTTTGGTTTTCTTTTGCGCTAAGTTGACCACGATTCACGCGAACACAGATGGAGGAAAGTTTTTATTTCCAGTTCCGTTCTGGTTCCAGGCAGCTTTCCTTGAAACGGGCCTTTTAGCGTGTATAATTGTTGTTACAATAGCGCAATTAATGCCCCAAATAGTGGCTGCTAAATACCCCGTCCACTTTCTTCAGATCGTCATCATGAGGCCCGCCTATTACGCATGCGTATTTGTTGAAATAACAGGTATTGCCCATATATGTTGGCTTCTGGCTGCATTCTTTGAATTCTGCTTCCGTTGGAAAGACGACGAAAGTACGGTCAATCCAAATGACATCCTAGCTGCGGATGAAATCCTCAACGAAATTGAAGGGTCATTAAGCGATGACACGAACGACTCTGACAATACACCAGGAGACAGCACATCTGTCGATATGGGCGATAACGTTGAAAAACAACCTCTTGTTGGATTACACCACAAACTTGAAACTACAAAATACACCCACCTCGTTGATAAGCTAAACAATCAAGTGGAACCAGATACTCTTCGTATTTTGCGACACTACCTCGACAATCACCCGGAGAAGTTTCATAAGTTCCCCAGCATGATCGGGGGCAAGATTTACCCAGCCCCCGGGATGTTGGCGCAACAGCTCAGCGATGATGGTCACAGGGTACCGAAATTTCTCACTGATATATCAGACGAGGATCATGTACCTCCTCATGTGGTTGCTTGTGAATTGCTAGCACAAAACCGCGCTTTACGAGCCGAGATCGCTGTGTTGGAGAAAAAATTGCAGAAGTCATAATTAAAGGTTTTGTATAAACTAATAGCTCTAAAGATAGATGTCTCATAAGTGGTTCCCACAGGGTTTATCAAAAAACGCAACAAACAGTTATCTGATCTTGTAAAACCAGTGATGACTACATCAATTTCATCCAATGCACCATAAAGCAACGTCCCTCCTTATTGCAATGGTACGTCATTCATTCACATGTGGTCATGGTTGGGCGAAAAATCATGATTCCTTTTACACAGTGGGCTAAAGTCGGCTCTGAACCAAGTTTTAGATATCGCAAAAATCAGTGCAATGACAAAGTGCTATTGGAAGTTCTCTTGACCTGAATTATTGTGACTTCTTTTTGAAGCTATCTTAGGAGCAGAGTGTCAACCATTCCTCCACCAGGTATTGCGCATGCAAAATTTCGAGGCTGCTTCTGAGCCATGAATGACATGGTCCCGAGATGATTTTGCCCCGCTTTGCAAGAGCAAAGATTATTTGGCAAACCATATATGGCTTTGTGGTACATAGAATGAAAAGGATGCAATCACCACTGGTTTTATATTTTGTCGTCCAATAGCACCTGCCCATTTGGACTGGCTTTCGCAATGTTTATAACTTGGTCCCAAGCTAATTTTTTACCCACTTTGCAAAAGGAATGTCAATAAATGACATACCATTGGAAGGAGGAGACATGTGGTTTTATGGTACATTGAATGAAATTAATGCTGTTAACACTGATTTGTGCTCTCCCGAGATAAAAATGTGTTTTAATCATATCTCAATATTATATCATATCGTATTGATATTTTATCATATATTTGTATATTACCATTATGTGCATATTTTTACAGACTTTGTTCGATATCATATTGATATTTTTCATTATATCATATTGATATTTTTATTATATCGTATTGATATTATTTTATTTATTTTATCTTATTGATATATCACGCACCCAATTCTTTTTATCTAGTACAGGTTTTATCATATCCTTGATATTTTATCATACCATATTTATATTGGTATAATTTGAAAGATATTGCCCCCCCCCCCTTGGCCATAAAATGGTCACTTTACACAATGTACTAGATATTTGGATGTCATTTTGACCTCATATTATATACAATATATGGCTGGTATTGACTTTGTTCGATATCATATTGATATTTTTCATTATATCATATTGGTATTTTTATTGTATCATATTGATATTTCTATTTTATCATATTGATATATAACGCACCAAATTCTTTCAATCTATTACAGGTTTTATCATATCATTGATATTTTATCATATCATATTTATATTGGTATAATTTGAAAGATATTGCCACCCCCCCCCCCCCCCCCTTGGCCATAAAATGGTCACTTTACACAATTTACTAGATATTTGGATGTCATTTTGACCTCATATTATAGACAATATATGGCTGATTTTGTCAGTGCACACTTTTAGATATGTTATAAAACTACAGGTATTCGTCAGCTGTTTGTTTTTGTTTTTATTCATTGTATTCTATACAAAAAAATTGTTGAAAGTGCTGCCCAGTGCCAATGCATGGTATTATGGCTAGCATCAATGGATGATTACATGGAATAAAACTGTTTTAATTAATTAGATTTATGTTCATATCAACAATAATATGTCAAACCAGTAATGCCTCGATCCTCTCCCTTTTCCCCAGCATGCTATCATTGTAGCTGGCTCTCTAACGGTTGCGCTGCTAAAGGCACTCTCTGAACTTGTAATGTCTGGAATGACAATGATAAATTACCGGCTTAGTTTTTGTTACTATTGCTCTTTAAAAAATACAACATTCCGTATGTTTTTTGTTTAGTATGTTGCTAATTATGTACCAAAGTGCAACAGAAATACATTTTAAAATGCCATTACTTTGTAAATCCATCAAAAGTATCAGTATAAAGTAAAAACTCATTTTTTGAAAAGTGTGATATCACGAAATATATATCTAGCACAAAGCTGAACACTTTAGTTGAGGCTATTCCATTTGACACAACGAGACATCCGAGTTAAAAGAGTTTTTTTATCTTAGTATTTTGACAAAAACTAGCGTGATCCCTATAATGAACAAATCTTCAGATCCCACCCCGTGACTGTGATGATTATTTTGACAGCTCCAAGCAGAAGCTGTCATCACTCTTCATGACTTCGTTTCCACTTTATAAAAAAACGATTCCACTAATGACCTATGACTAACACCTCGTGTTCAATTGATACCCAAACTTCCGCATCTCTAAGAATTATTCATCAACTTGAGGTCTACGAATCGTATATAAACACATCTATGTTTCTAAAAAGCATCGGTTAACGTGGATTATCAGGAACAGGATCGTTGTACGCTTTATTCGTAAATCTGATGCACACGTTCCCGTCCTCCCGTCATCCTTAGGAATATACTGTATCATCTGATACAAACCGTGAAAACAGATTTCAGTGATTTCTCTGAAAAGCGCGTTGAACTTGAACTTGAGTCGAGAGCTTTATACGTAAACGCTGATCGACCCTAAAAGATGACAGGGCAACGTTTACGTTACGTGGTGGGAGGGGTGATTGTTGTGTATACGCTTGTAGCAGTCTGTACTGGACACGGTAGACTAGTAGATCCTCCATCACGCTCAAGTATGTTCAGATTTGAATTCCCAACGCCAGCAAATTACGATGACAATGGTTTGAACTGTGGAGGATTCGGGGTAAGTGCGCAATAATTTACCATTAATATTTCTTAATCATCATGATATAATTTTTTATGAATTAAAATAATGAACAATAAAATTGAAGAATTATCCGGAACTAATAGGCTAAAGGCACAACTGTTGTAGGGCTATCTGTAAAAAGGTATGCAATCATATGAAAACAATAATGAACAATTGTCACATTTTTTCTTAAAACGTTAGATACTCTTCAGATTGTTTTACTAAGCTCCTCCCATTGAATACAGAATAGAAATGAACTGTATAAAAGTAGAAATGAATTTAAATTAAAACTTTCTTTTGCTTAACGATGCATATCGATATTTTGTAGCATCAGTGGGACAGGATGGGGGGCAGGTGTGGGCTATGTGGAGACCCTTATGACTCCTCACGTCCTAACGAAGCGGGTGGACGTTACGCGAAAGGAATTATCGTAAAAAACTACAGGAAAGGCCAAACAATAAACGTCCGAGTGCAGATCACGGCAAATCATAAAGGTAATATAAATTAATAAACTAACTGCAAAGTATGTGGCAAAAAGGCTCGATTTCAAAGTTATATTTGACCGAATTTAGGCAGCCATATTACATGTACGTTTCGGGAATGTTTATCTACCAGTTTCATCTTGAATCTCAAGGTTTCAATTGCACAACTTTGGAAGTCGAAGATGAGTTTTTCACCCAAAACAGATGGTTAACTAGATTAAGATAACATTAAATGTATTTCATTCTTAAAAAAACTGTGATTGTGAGAATTAATTTCAATATGAGATTTCAAACCAGAAAGAAAAAACAAATCCGACAAGCGGTATTCAAAGATAACAGTTTGACGACGGCGTTCATTTTAAATTGAGCTGTTGTATTGGAAATTCCATTCCGGGCTCAAACCATTGCACACGACGGTACTAAACTTAATGTATACTCGTTCCAGGCTGGTTCGAATTCCATCTGTGCCCCAACAATGATCCCACCCAGCGTATCACCCAGGAATGTCTCGACAGTAACCTGCTCACCATGACGAATGGAGGGACGAGATTCAATTTAGGTACACGTAAGGGAAATGTGAACATTGCACTGAAGCTGCCGCAAGACCTGACGTGTAGCCAATGCGTCTTACAGTGGAAGTGGAACGCTGGTAAGTATTCGACATTTCTCCATCCAGATGATATGACAATAATATATTGCGGAGCATCCATATTCATCTTTCACAAGTAAAATTCTACGAAGCAAAAAGGAGAGTGAATAAATTGACAGCAGTATTTACCGAAAAAAGAATGAAATATTTGTTTCATTTCTCAGTGTTATATTCCTCATTCTCTATCAAGCTACCTTGAAATAGTAACTAACATTGGGAGTAAATAGAATATAACATCAAATGATTTCATATTAATAAAATATCTTAGAACACTCAGTTTCACATGATTCTTAACAATTAAAACTTTGCGGTAACTTTACATTATCTTTTTTAAGCGCCAAATATTCCATATAGACGAATAACTCGTAAAACTGAATATTTTTGTCCATGTACGATATACAGTAAGCGTCTGATTTTGAGACGAAAGCCAGGTTGGTCGTAAGGGATCATGAGACTCCGAACCGCGATAAAAATGTTAGTACTCTCCCTTTTTCAAAGAATATTCTGAAGAGTGTACAGATACATATGTACCTAACACGAGCATCTGTTCTGAATAACTAAAGTATTGAAAACATGTTTGGCTTGGTTTACTTTTGACATCGTTTGACCAACTTTTAAAACTAATGTCCATAAATGTGTAATCAATTTTGAGGCACGACAATGGTTGAAATGTTGATATCTGTGTAAAAATATTGTTAAAAAACGTGCAGTATGTGTGAAACACAGCACTGTTTGATTTCAATCTGTTTTTATGAATTTACTGTAGAAGTATGTCTTACTATGTAATGATTTAATTAATACAAATGATTATCTATAAGCATGTATATGTAAATATTGACGCACCCCTGAGTGCCACTGCTACAAAAGAGATTTTCAAATGATGTTCGGAACCACTGAATTTTAGGTAACAACTGGGGAACCGAAAACGGCCGGGGTTGCATAGGATGCGGGCGACAGGAACAGTTCTATGGTTGTGCAGATGTCTCTATCGGAGACGGAGAACCTTCCACTCCATGGCGCGACTCAAACCCTGAGCCTGAAACGGGCAACGAGGCGGTCCGCCCAAGAGTTCGACAAAATGATCGCGGTTCAAGGACAAGGTACAGAGGAACAGGACGCGGAGGATCAACACAGACTCGAGGTCGTGTTGCCAATCGTGCCGGGAGAGGATGCCACGCAGTTGGAGTGTGGGCGACAAAATCAGGGATGAATGCGTGGTGTGTTGCTAACTGTGCCGGAGGGTACTGTCCTCCTTCACACTGCACTTGTTCTTAAATAATGTAGGTGGTTCGACTGGAAAACGCTTCTTGTATGATATATCTAATATAACAACAGAAATTACAAGAAAATGGTTCTAGGTAAACCTATAGCAGTCTTGAGGAAAACATGGCCCCAATGTTATTAACGGCCATATGAGATGACAATCAAAATCTGCAGGGAATAACCAGTAAAGATTCAGTTCAACATATGACAGTGACTCCACGATTGGATAAAAGCTTTATATTACATGTAGTTTGTGTTATTATTTTGTGACTATGCATAAATAAAGTTGATATAAGTTGGACTGAGCTTTGAATGTTGAAAACGTATTTTAACTAAAACTTTTGATTCAATATGTTGCAAAAATGTCTGCCCATATGTGTCAAACTGACAGTTCTGATTTTGAAAGTAAAGGACCTTGTTCACAAAGAAAATGCAAAGACACCAGTAAACTTGTAACATATTCAACAGAACTATAAGAGGTAACATTTGAAGAAAGTAACCATAAAAATATATTTACTATATTTCTCAAAAATCTCACAACCCATTTGAAAGAAATATATATATTCTTGCATATCTGTACAAATCATTTGTTTTGAAGAACAATATAGTTGAAAAATACTGACTTAAATTTGCGAAGCACTGTATAATTTTATGTGTAAAGAATGGCAAGATACTACATGTAGATACAGAATAATGAGATCATGGCTAGGTAGGGCCAATTGTCCTTATTACCTGTAAATAACTAAATATCACATCAACATTTTTCTACATTTTCAGTTAATTGGATATTTCTATTCAGGCTTTCAAAAATATCCTGTCAATTTTTTGAACTTTTACAATTGAAACTGCATCATGGTGGTGGGTATATAAATTATTTATTTCACTTACAAATCACAATTTATTAAAACTGCATTTTGTATTTGATTTCTCATTTCAGAATAATTAATAACTAACTAAAGACTAGATTATATAAAACATCCTCCGAGTGTTTTCTGAAAGCTCCAGATTTACCAATCCATATTGTCACCATACCCAAACATTGCACATGTGCATGTACAGTTGTACATATAAACAGCTAAATATATCCATAGTATATTATACTACTATATAATACTGTTATGTCTAGATAACCATTTTTCATGTTTTCCTTAAATAATAATATAACAAAAATAACACAGTGAGAATTAAATATCACACTTAGGAAGGCATATTGTGTAAAAATGAAATTGAAGAAAAAACTAAAATATCAAAAATGGCCTTTCCTCCTGTCAGTTACCAATCCTCTCAGAAGAAATAAATATGCCATTAATTAATCCTATGGATGTCCTTTAAAGGTAAAGGTATTAAGTATACCTTTTCATGTTTGTGCACTCCCTTTCAAATATGTGTATGATATATCAAATTTTATTGCCTCTCATTAGCACCTCTCATTTTAATGGTCCACCCTGTATCATCTCATCCAGTACATATACATGTACATGTATATATATACATATACATGTACCTTGCAAACAGTGTTTGTAAAAATCGAACAACTCTTGTTATTAACCATTAAGGTATTCCCATCATGTCCAAAAGCAAGTTGATTTTCTCATTCAACCAGTCTTTTTGCTTGGGTCTAATTCCCTCAACCCATTCCATGGGTAGGCTAGCAAAGCCCACCTTACAGCCTAGCAGGGCCCCAGTCACACAGCAGTTTGTATTACTGTCTCCTCCACACATAAGGAGGTCACTGACTGCACACCTGAAAAACAATATTGATACAATGATTACTACACAATATTGCACACCATATCTCTGATTGCACAGCTGAAACACAAAAGAGCACACCATATCACTGATTGCACAGCTGAAATACAAAATTGCACACCAAATCACTGATTGCACAGCTGAAACACAAAATTGCACACGATATTACTGATTGCACAGCTGAAACACAAAATTGCACACCATATAACTGATTGCACAGCTGAAACACAAAATTGCACACCATATAACTGATTGCATAGCTGAAACACAAAATTGCACACCATATAACTGATTGCATAGCTGAAACACAAAATTGCACAACATATAACTGATTGCACAGCTGAAATACAAAATTGCACACCATGTCACTGATTGCACAGCTGAAACAGAAAAGAGCACACCATATCACTGATTGCACAGCTGAAACACAAAAGAGCACACCGTATCACTGATTGCCCAGCTAAAACACAAAATTGCACAATACATAATTGATTGCACAGCTGAAATACAAAATTGCACACCATATCACTGATTGCACAGCTGAAACACAAAATTGCACACCATATAACTGATTGCACAGCTGAAACACAAAATTGCACACTATATCACTGATTGCACAGCTGAAGCACAAAATTGCACACCATATCACTGATTGCACAGCTGAAGCACAAAATTGCACACCATATCACTGATACACAGCTGAAACACAAAAGAGCACACCATATCACTGATTGCACAGCTGAAACACAAAATTGCACACCATATCACTGCTTGTGCACATGAAACAATATTGTGCACTAGATCACTGATTGCATAGCTGATTACAATATCATGCTCTAGATCAATGATTGCAGATATTCGCTTTTGTGATTGAAACTCAGTTTTGCAAACCAGTTCACTAATTGTACACTTGAAACTCAGTATTGCACACTAGTTCACTAATTGTACACACTTAAAACTCAGTATTGCACACTAGTTCATTAATTGTACACTTGAATCTCAATATTGCACACTAGTTCAATAACTGTACACTTAAAACACAGTATTGCACACTAGTTCATTAATTGTACACTTAAAACTCAGTATTGCACACTAGTTCAGTAATTGTACACTTAAAACTCAGTATTGTGCACAAGTTCATTAATTGTACTCTTGAAACTCAGTACTGCACATTAGTCCAATAATTGTACACTTGAAACTCAGTATTACACACCAAGCCACAGGTCTGACACACCCTGGGGGCTGGACTGAAAGATGGGTTTTCTTAGTCATACATATGGCTTAATGCACGCAATTGAGGTAATGTATTCTCATTTTATTAAACTTTGGGTCATACAGTATGATTTAATATTAGGAAGATTAAGCTTGCATATAAAATCAAAATGAAAAAATGTTATCTTTTTGTCCACATTTACGTTGTGAAAAACAGTGGAAGCTTGAAGCTTAACTTTGCTATTAACTTCATGAACCTACCTAAAATCTTTTGTCTCTCGTAGACTAACAACTGCTGCCCCCAATGGCTTGAAGGTGAAGCTCATCCTTTCAGGCTCTGTTACATTTAAACTGAATAAAATATTTCAATGATTCAAATAAAGTTGTTTGATTGCAAAATTATGCTACGGTCTGGTGACTTTGATGCAAATTAATTGTGAAGTATAAGGACATGTACACTGTACATATATACTAATCTATCGACTTAATAGTGGTACAAATGCAACCTTTAGGGTAAATATACAGTGTACATGGTGGTTTAACAAAAAATGGAATATATTTGTAATTACAATGTACATGCATATCCACATGCAATATACAGTATTTAACTTGATTCAGTGGCACATATAAGGAGCAAATATGTACACACCTGTTCAGATCGGTGTAGCTGCAATATTCTTCAAAATCCTTTATATGTCTGATGTCTGTGAGATATTTCAGTCCTTGCTGTTTTGCTGCATTTATCAGTTCATCCACATTAGATATGTGCTGTCCCTGTAATCATAACACATAGAAAGTTCATTCATGCTTGCCTATTGAGAGAGTGTGGGAAATTTTATTTCATTTGTTCTTCGAATTCTGACCACTTTATCTCCTACTAAGCACCTGACTTAAGTACCTGAAAGACATACTGGGACATTAGTTTTTATCTACCTGTAGGTCAAGCTCATATTCACATCACACATATTTTTATAAGTATTACAGCTTTTGAGATATCTGAGTTTTATAAAAAAGTGTGAACAGAATTAGAGTATTGAGAAGATTAATACATGTAAATTAAAACCTTGTTTGAGTTATTTGTTATCATTGTCGTAAGGGATTTAAGTTGGCCTAGTCAGTTGTAAATTTAAATAAAACAGTTTGCTTGAAATATTCAAGTCAACGGTTAGCCTAAAATGTGTACAGTAGAGACACATACCTGAAGCATCAGAGCTAGCATTGTTGCTATGGTAACTGCACTGGCAATGCATCTATCATCTGCATGAGTTGCCTTGGTGATTCTAACTGTATTGGCAACCACCTCATCTATATTGTGGAAATGTGGAATGGCTAGAAACAGAGGAACATTATATTGACATTCAGGATGTAATGAAATGAACCCAATATTAATATCATAGCTTACTATTGATAAACTACAGCAACAGTTTCTGTGATTGACATTATTCACACACAAAACACAGCTCATTAGACAGAGATAAACTGGACCAGTGGTGTGGGGTATAGGATAGGCCTCTGATTATGCCACCATCTCTTTGAGTGAACCATACTGTTACTTAATTTGGCAAGTTTAGCAAAATTAATTGGAAAATTGGCAAAGATTTAATTTGGCGAATTACTTTAACAACTAGTCGTATATCTGCTATTTTATCTTTCTATTAGAGTCCTCATTATATTTGACCAATCAACATTCATCTCTCCTAGCTATGTTAGAATTGACACGACCCAATGATGAAAAACTTTGAAAACTGTTCAAAACAAAAAAAACATGGAGCAAAATTACTGAATGCACATGCAGATGCTACATGTAGGTGAAAATCCTTCCTGGGTACTTTTTCTGAAAAACTGGCAAAGACATAAATTGACAACATTTTTGCAAATCCCAAGTTAGTAAAATAACAATGTACTTCATGTGAGTATCATTTTTCCTGATCTTGAAATTAAAAGCCTCATAATATACAAAATCATCCACAGGGTGTCAAATAAGTTGCGTTTCCTCTAATTACATGCCATCCGTATTGATCAAAACATATGATACCTTCTCTTGAGAAAAATCCTGATTTGGGTACAGTTATCCTTATGTACATACATACCTAACATAAGGCACCTTGTCAAAGAGCCATTGTCTGCAAACTCTTCACAGGATTCCTTTTCTTTGTCAGATATATGACAGTCTCTAAAATTAATAATGCTGTCTGCTACAACATATGGGGTGGAGAGGAAACTTGGGTCATTGACAGCCTAGGGAATAAAAAATGATCTCACTGCTACACATTTCCAAATATTTCGCTTCTTCTTATAACTTGATAACTTTAGATTTCATTGCATTTCATTTGAAATTTAAACACTATCCTTAACATGAATTACAAAGTTAAAGCATATCCATTCATGCTTTAATTCTATTCAAAATTAAGCTGTTAACTTTTAAATCCTTTGAATTTGAAACTACAAAGCACCAATAAGGGCTCTAAATAACCACAAACTCAAATGTCAAATTGTGAGTCTTCCACATTATGTTCATTGTATCTATTCAGTATTGTTCATGTATGTATACATGTAGCTTTCTATTGCTCAGTATATCAAGCAATATATTAGCTAATGTATCACAAAAATATATACAGTACTGAACATGTACATACCTTTACAATTGTATTGCACAGGGTGAATCCCTCAACATCCTTGAGTTCTGGAAAGCCATGATAGTACCATTCATCTAGGCGCTTAGCAAAGTCTAGCTCATCAATGACACCACCCCAATGTAACAGGGAGTCTAGCACTAAGACCTGCAAATAATGAACAAATTAATTACGGAATGTTACAGATGTGAAAATAGATCTATGCTTTGGGAGATATTATGCCATTCACTCCAGTAACATTTCATAAATCTATCAGGATAGTATTTCTGAAGAGCGAGTCAAGTTGTTGGCAAATATTTTGAAATTGTATCAAGTCACTAAACTAAAGTAAATGCCAAAGGCTTAAATCACCAGATGATCAATTCATATGCATACATACACATTGGTCAAAATCTCCTGTCCAATCACCCTGTTTCCAATGCACTCTATGTTGGTCTCGTACTATGTCAGTGTATTTCAAGGAATTGACGTCATAGTGGAAAAGGCACTCATCGCGACTCATGAACTCTGTTGCAATGCCTATTGCATCTCCTATGGCAGCACCATAGATAAGACCTGAAATCAGTTAAAACAAATGTTTAAAATATATTTAATGGTTTATTTTGCTCCTCATAATAGAAACAAGGGAACATGTCTAACTTAATTATCAATATTATGTTTATTTGTTTTCATTATCATTATGTGGTACATATATTGTACCTTTCATTTGATTTTAAGGACAGGGTGCATGTTGGGAAATTTTCTGCATTCCTCAATTGAGTCACATGTTATTTTTCAAACAAGAATAACTCCTTCCCCACATTGTCTACATCTTCCAAGTTTGCACAAAGAGTGCACTTATGTGCCTAGAAAAGCCTTGTGAGAAGGTTTCCTTTGTAAAATGTATAAAAATGAGAAAATTCAGTGAAAAAAAATTCTGAAAATTTTCTGATTTTTTTGACTGAATTTTCTTGTTTTGTATACACTTTATCAAAACATTCTTCTCACAAATCTTTTCTAGGTACATAAGTGCACTCTTTGTGCAAAACTGGAAGATATAGACAATGTGGGGAAGGAGTGATTCTTGTTTGAAAAATAACATGTGACTCAATTGAGGAATGCAGAAAATTTCCCATCATGCACCCTGACCTTAACAGATTGATGAACAGTTATTTGTGCAAAAATACAAAATACAAATAGATTTTCATACTTGGATCCCTGAAATTTTATAATCAATACATCAGTTGGCTCAGAATGCACAAACGAAAATTGAGAACATGAGTTACAGTGTAAGGGACCTCAAAATTTAGCAAGCATATGCACTATCTAATAATCAGTTCTAGAATGCATTCCTATTTTAGCTGGAAATGTGTGGACATCCACATTGGGGGCTTGCTCACTTATGGTTTATAAAAGGTGTGGATACTACCCCTGCTTAAGCTGAGTCATAAAGAACCGTTTTGGCATATTTCAATTCTTAGGAAGCTTAGTTTAGTTTGCTTCAATTATTGTTCAGGAAATCCTTGAGTAAATGTACTTACCAACAATCTTATCTCTAAGTTCATAAGCCTGGTACTGACTAGATCCAAGTGGTGGCAAGAGAGGTGTTTTGATTTTAATCACTGTGTTGCTTGTATATGTCTGCTGCTGGATGTACTAGAAAACGAAACATATACCGTACTCGAAGTAACACATACATTGAAAAGGTAACAGCAAGGTACTTGTACTAATTAAGGTAAATCTTATACTGGAGATTGTAATATACAAATATATTAGAGAAGGTGTCACATATATTAGAAAAGTTAACACCATATTGTGTTTTCACTGCGTGAAAAATGGAATTTCTAGACTAAGCACGTCTAGAAACTAAGTCTAAGCACGCCAGGTGCTTAGGCGTGACTAGTTTTGACACGTCTAGGTACGCGATGAAACCAACTCTAGACATCTCTAGGCACGTCTAAGCACACGCAGTGCAAAGACGTGCTTAGAGTGTGACAAAAAGTCTTGGCACGCCTTGAGACTAATGATTGAAATCTAGAATAAAGTAATTATCGAATCAGGTGAATGTATATTGTTATAAGCAATTATGATCAACATTCATAATTTAGACATATTTTCACTGAAATATACTAATTACTTTTATCTATTTTATTTATTATTTTGTATAACGAACTGTTCACGTATGCCATGACGTTTTACATATATGATTGAATAATAAAATACCAAACAAGCTGTACTGATAATTAGTAATAACTATCAAGTTGTTACATCAAACCCCGGGTATCAAGCAAGATACTAGAATAGTATTATTATTGTGCGTCTGACCAAATGGATGAAAAAACTATGTGTTCATCTATTGTGTCTGCAATGTATCATAGGGCAGGGGCGAAGCCAGCTTTCATTCAGGATGGGGGGGGGGCTTCGATCGCAAAAAACTTCTCGATTTTCAGTCACGGGGATGCGATTGTTGCATAAACAAGCCATAAAAATATGATTTATTTTAAATTTTACAAAAATTTCTTCAAAATTGAGCTTTTTCTTTCTCATGGTTTTATCTTTATTGCACCCCCCCCTTGCTTCTTTCTATGGACGCAATTAACATATTCATTTAAGTTGCCTCTCCCGGTAGATACGTGGAGTTTCTAGACCATCCTACAGGTACGTCTAGAAATTGCAAGAAATTCCACATTTGATGCACAGTGATCATACTTGCGAATCATATTGAACAGGAAATAATTGTTTGGACGGTGGTCGATATTACATACACCCCCCCCCCCTCCATAAAATTAGTAACAGGATCCCCTTTTCGGCCACCTATCTAATCAAAGCCCGATTATGATTGGCGATTTAGATAAATTCGTCAAATATCACAAATAACTGAACTACTAGATCTAGCATTGCAATTTGAGGAAATAATTAGATTTAAATATTGATATGCTTCGAAATGAAAACACACGATTGCCAATCTAATGGAAGGGGTACGTAATGAAGACGCGATATTGTGTTTACCGCCCATCGTCCATCGCTCGAAAAGAAAATCGCATTGTCCTGACCAATCCCTCTCACAAAAATTGCATTCACCTCAAAACTCGCTAACAAAGATTGAATTCATCTCCCATTTCAAAATTAAGAGATTTTGAAACGAAAGGAGTATGAAGCTCTGTTTGAGCCTATTAAACACAGGCGAATGGTAATTTCATCATCATGCCCTGACACAGTTAAAGTCATAGACATCTGAGCAACAAGCGATTTTGTTTGGTCGCTGTTATATTGTTTCGTTGATTTTTTTTGATGCTGGTGTGTTTATATTATTCAATAAATTTTATATTTCAAAATGTCATTTTAAGTCATCGGATATTTTGTAGACTTATGATATAAGACTTCTGGTTTTGTTTCATCATGCAAAGTTTAGATATGGACTTCGAACTTCAGATTTCATTGAAGAGAGTTAGGAATATCATGATCGGAATTGAATATGGCCTATGGTTTTATACACTGTGACAACATGATATTAACCTCTGGCCCTCTGAGCCCTCGAGAAATGTATCGTGTCCCTTTGGAAGGGTTGGTGAAAGTCCCCCTCCCCCGGCCAAAAAGTCTAGATCTTTCAAAAGCGTGCAGCTCTTCACCATTGTGAGCACTTTTCAAATACACCATTAACCATTCCAATGATCGGGATACCATCATGTATTTCACCAGTCCATGTTATGTCGATGCACCATTCCCAGAAGAACTCAAGTTGATCGAATCTCAAAATGTACAATCATGTCAGCTTTCAGTCGGGGGGGGGGGGGGGGGGGGGGGGTGATGCCCAAACGAATTTCGGTTATCAGTCAGGGGGTACCATTGTGGCTAAAACAGACCACTAAATTTATTTTGAATTTTACAAATATTGATAGAGGCCCAAAATAAAAAACATTTTACCCTTTTCTTCTTCTATCTCATGGTTCTATTTTTTATTGGTTATCGCACCCAAACGCCTATTGTGTTTTAAACAGTACATTAACACGCGGTGTTAACTTCGAACGTTAATTTGTATTTTTGGCCTATCGGATGTTTGAAAATCAAGGATTACGAGTCTCGATACTGCACCGTTTTTCTTCAAACTTGTTTCATCCAAAGCATAATAAAAATCCCTTTCTGTTAGTACACTTTTCTCTTAAACAGAGTCCCTACTTCCAGCGGCATTTTGGTCCCCAGGTGTAAGAAGGCCTTCTAACAGCTGGGGACCAAAACGCTGCTAGAACGAGGGACTCTTTACAATAAAGTAATGCACCGACAGAAAGGCAATTTCGTTTTGCTTTAATGGTTTAAGGTTGAAGAAAAACGGTGCAGTATGAGACTCGCAATCCTTGATTTTCGAGCATCTGGAAGGCCAAAAATTCAAATTAACGGTCGAAGTCAGGACCGATTGATTAAAGCTTAACGAAGGCTGTTTTGAAATCTTTCGTTACAGGGCTATACTACAGGGCGTTTATACGTTATGTTATGCCAACAGTTACATGTTATACGACTTGAAAGTTCATAATAATGGTCTTTGCGTTATCTTTTTATTCAGGCCCGTAGCCAGGATTTGCCAAGGGGGGGGGGTTCATTTTTCAAAAATTTCCAGGGGGGGTTCACATTTGACAATTTTGGCCCAAATATGGCTAAAATCACTTGAGAAGTGCTCAAAATGGTGAAAAACTGCATGATTTTGAAAGAATTTTTGGCCAAGGGGGGGGGGGGGGGGGTTCGCCCGAACCCTGCGAACCCCCCCCCCCCTGGCTACGGGCCTGAGATATTTATAATAATTAGTAATGTAGCTCTCTCTGTTGGCGGTGATGATCTACTTCTTTCCAAGTATCTATTGTTTTGATTTCTTATTACTTATTAATGTCAGGTTTGACAAGGGGGTGGTTTGCTTTTTAATCCAAAATCCAAGAGGTCACATTTTGGCCCCAAATCACTTAAAAATCACTGAGAAAAACGCCATGATTTTGTACAAACGTTTGGTCGCTCACATCCTCTTAACCCCTCCCCCTCCAGGCTAAGAGATTGCACATGTTTATTTCAGCTTGATTGTAGATAGAATGTTGCTTGTCTTGTTTTTATTAGTTAACCTTAGCTTACTTTTTGTGCTTCTTTATTCAATTACGCTTCCAGTTTCAACCGTTTTACTGCATTGCTCGGGGCATTGCTATAAGAGGCATTTTATAAAAGGCATATTGATCGATGTAGTCAGTTGCTTTCCTAAGTTTTTGATTTTTCATATTTTGAATGAATGTGAATGACTTATGAGGGGGGGGGGGGGTAATTCAAACAAGTCAAAGCTTTAAAAATGCTATCGTCGTCATAATCCTTACCAGTCCATCAATACCACTAACGCACAGTATAACACTCGACATCAATGAGAAATGGAAAATTGAGAGAATTATACAGTCAACCGTATTAATGAGATATTTTGTTCTTTACTTCCTTATTGTGTTGTACGTGCCACTTTCAGGTCTGAGTGTGTTTTAACAATTTTCAAAAAGCGGGGACTAACATCGTAAAAACATTTGCGCTAAAGAATTTCAAGACCGAGCCAAAAAGACGGGTTTGCAGATCAGATACCCCCTACCCATTACGATATTTAATTCCACCCCTAGTTATTTGCTTCGGAACCACCTTGGGATGTCCCCTTGTCAATCTCTCCCTTCCAGATTCGCAAATTATTCTAGACCTTGCTGTACATAATACTACGTATTCAATACCTGATGAGGTTTCAGAGACATCAACCGGGAATATATTTCAGATCCGGGTAAATATTTCTCGTATGTCCCGCTCCAGCAAGGATCCGGGACATATCAATCGTATGACCCGCATTATATCCCTTGGGATATACAATATATCTTCCCTTGGTCTCTTTGGGCCCTCGGGAAGATATATTGTATATCCCTCAGGATATTCCCTATATCCAAAATATTCCAGTGTATGTATTAACTTTATCATTTGAGAGGAGTTGAACTAAACGTTTTAGAGACAAAGTGCACGTGAACTTGTAATATTATGACCCCTCCACATTGGTTCCTCCAGGGCCCCTAATAATTCAATATCCCTTAATTAAACATTTATCACAGAGTCCTAACTACGACCGTTAGTTTGAATTTCAAACCTACTATGTGTTTAAAAATCAAAGATTATGAGTCTCATAATGCACCGTTTTTGTTCCATTAAAAGCAAAACAAAAATGCCTCTCTGTCGGTGCATTGCTGTCGGGGCCGGTCCCAAGCTGTGTGAAGCGCTTCTCACTGACAGCTGGGGATCCAAACGCCGCTAAAAGGAGGGACTCTCAGTCTGTATAACAGTATAATCTAACCATCAGAAAAATTTGTTTTCTTTTAATGGAGCAAATTTGAAGAAAAACGGTGCAGTATATTGATTCACAATCCTTGATTTCCAAACAGGTGTAGGTATAAAATTCAAATTAACGGTCGGAGTTGGCACCTCGTGTTTATACTTACTAGTAATCGGAATAATACTACGAAAGGTAGAACTTATTCCAAAAGGACCATAATTCTGCACGTTAAATTACGAACAAGCTCTTTCATAACCCCCCTATCATGAAAAATGGCATCTATTGCAGTTTTCTAAACCTGCGTTCATTTCTAAAGGACGTAATCCAAGTCCCCCCT